CTGTGTTTTTCTGTCAATATGGGGTGCTGTGTGTACATTAATGAGGAAAAAAAATGAACTTAAATGATTTTAGCAAATGGCTGCAATATAACAAAGAGTGAAAAATTTAAGGGGGTCTGAATACTTTCCGTACCCACTGTATATATTTAAATAAACATTATAAACATACAATTATGATTATTAATGTTTATTTACAAGAAATCTTTTGGCAGTAGATTTCTTAACTGAAATTAACACGAATATATGTATATGTATATATATATATATATATATAAAAATATATATATATATGTGTTTTTATTTATATGAAAAGGTTGTCAGTAGATTTTGTAATTGGAAGGACATAGGGAAAAAATATTTTAGGTATATATATTAAAAAAAATTTAGAATGATTTTACTAAAATTCACCCAAAAGTGGAACATGTTAAATTATGTATTTTTTTATATGATTATTAATGTTTATTTATATGAAAAGTTTGTCTTTTTTTTTTTAACTGAAAGGGACACAGAAAAACATATTTTATATATATCCAGTATTAACAATATTGGCAAATATCGTCCGTCTGATCAATCAGCCAGACTGATTGATGGTGTTGTCTTGAGGTGGCTAGATTGCAGAGTCGGCTTACTATAGTATATACATACTTTCCATTCCCAACAGCAGTATGTGAATATTAGGATGAAGCCAAGGTCTTCACTCTGTCTTTGTTCTCTCAACAGCCTATGAACGGCCTTCCTACGGCCCAGACGTGCTTCTTTCAGCTGCGCCTTCCTCCCTACACGAGCCAGGCCATACTAGCCGAGCGCCTACGCTATTCCATTCACAACTGCCCCTCCATAGACATGGACAACTACATGCTGTCACGCAACACCGACCCAGCGGATGCCTCTGACACCGAGTACTGACGCGACGCTCGCAAAAACAGATGCTATTACGCTACAAAGCACAAAATAATCTCATAAATGCCTCCGGTTGCACTTCTTCCTCATACATGCAATACAATTCTCAGTCACTAAACCTCACGTACGTTTTACGTACTCTCTGCGGTACCCAGAATGCACTGCAGATGCCAGTTCTTCCACAAGGTCAATGGGAGAATATTTAAGCAATTCAATTCTTTATTTATTCATTTTCGTTCGTGTCTCTAAACGTTGCAGGAAACTTCTTAAAATGAAAAAAATATTACAATACCGTTACAAGCGCCGTGCCTGGAATAGTCGCAAGGTTTTTTCTCTTGGCGTTAGCGACAGAAACTGGGGTCAGTTCGTAGGTGAGCACTTGGCAGCTAGCTTCCTGGCCCAGTTTATGCCAAAGGCTGTTAAACTACTGTACTGTAATGTACACAATACCTTCTGACTCAGTGAAAAAAAAAAAGTACTGTGAGTCTGAGAAACAAATCCCAGAGCGATCTTTGTTTGGGCGTTTGTATCACGCTAGCTTATATCCTAAATGAATGTATACTTGCAAATGCCATGCACGTGTGCACTCGAATCTTTTATTTGCCAAATACTGTACTGATGCTGTACATTACATAGGATTTAATGAATTTTAGCCTTTTTTTTTTTGCAACTGTGAAAAAGCGCGTGGAGACGTTTGGTGATTTTTGTGTTCGTCTGTGCATTCTCACAGAGCGAGAGTGCAGGTTTGTTACGCTATGCTGATTGGTCATCAGTGCTATTATGTGCTTCGGGCTTGTATGCCTCAGTGCTGGATGTTTTTACTGGTGTGTTTGATAGAGGAGAGTCCCTCCTTACTCTCGAACCTTCTGTATGAGGTGGTTTACAGTATCGGTAAATTATTATTATTTGTTGTTTTCCTGAAATATTTATCTGAGTGAGCTTTATGTGTTGGAAAGACTACTAATGAGGACTAATATGACTCTTGCGCCGTTTTGCACTTTAGATCTGTATGCATTGCGCTTTAGCATATGAGGAAAATCATATTCACTATAAGATTTCAGACTCATTTATCTAGAGATTCTCCTAAACCAAGCCACTAATGATATAAACCTCTTGGCTGATTTTTTTTTATGGAAGACTCCTGAACTAACTTTAACATGAAAGATGACTTTAAGGCTGATTCGTTAGGCTATGATATGGTGGTATTTGTTGATGCTCGAACTTCAGATTAAGCCATAAAACAAAACCAATTCAAGAAGTCTCCTGAAACTGTATGATGTTTTATGGCGATGGCCTCTCAGATGGAAGATGCACTGTACTGTAAATTAAATTTTGTGTACAGACTTTTGTGTCAGCTTTGTGTTTCTATTCCAGCTATTCTAGTGCAATCAGAGTCTCACGTTTCCAAAGCCCAGACGAGGGAAAATCGATCAACTCATCCGAAGGATTGGAAGTTGCACGCTGGGAAGTTGGTTGTGATTCAGTACATATGCGGTACAGATGTGCTTAAAACACTCTCTACACAAGTACTGAAACACAACTGTGTTGTCTGATTCACAAAATTGACTCTTTTGATTCACTTCTTTTTAGTGAATCACAAGCATTCAGTCCAACCAGTGTAGCTTGAAACAAATGATTCTTAAAGGGATTGTCTGCCTGAAAAAATGAAAATTCTGTCATCGTTTACTCACACTCATGTTGTTGTAGTTTTTTTCTTCTTCTGTTGAACACAAAATAAGATATTTTGATGAATGTTAGTAACTAAACAGTTGCTGGTCCCCATTGATTTCCATAGTACGGGGGGAAAAAATACCGGCAACTGTTTAGATGCCAATATCCTTCAAAATAGCTTTTGTGTTCAGTAGAAGGAAAAAATTCATATAGGTTTGGAACAACTTGAGGACAGAACTTTCATTTAGGGTGACCTATACCTTTAAGAGTCAGTTCTTTTAATGAATAGTTCAAAAATACTGCCATTTAAAAGTTTGGTTGGTACTTTTTTTAAAGAAATTTCGAGATTAATAATAAGAAGAAATGTTTCTTGAGAACCGAATCATATTAGAAAGATTCTGAATGATTATGTGACACTGAAGACTGAAGTAATGTAGTAATTTAAAATATATCCACAGTTAAAATAGTTATTTCAAATTGTAATAATATTTCACAACATTACTGATTTTTACAGTATTTTTGGTCAAATAAATGAACTTGTATGATTTTCTTTCATCTGTTGAACACAAAAGAACCCCCCCCCCCCCATACATCAATGTCTGCCAGCAATTGTTTGGTTAACAACATTCTTCAAAATATCTTTTTTTATGTACTGTACAACTCATAGAACTCATTTTTGGGTGAACTATCCCTTTAAGTTATGCATTTGAGATTTTTACAGATTACATTCTCCCATGGTTATTTGGACAAATATGGTTGTAAAAATGCCCCCCACCACTAAGCCACCCACTGTACTCTATATTCAATTAGCAGCAGGGTCTATCAGATGACCTCTCATGATCAAACTGAGCACTGTCTTATCATGCTGCGATAATTCAGCTGAGCACAAGCACATTTTTAGTTTCATTACTCAGTTACAATCCTATTTCCAGTCAAACAAATCATTTATTTCCATCTTGCTTCATAGGAATCCCATAACAAATTGAAGTGGTACAATCAAGCTAAATGTGATGGAAAAGAGGCCAAACGGGTTTAAAACCGCAGACCACCATTAGCACAAAGATGGGCGTTTTTGTTCCCCTCCTGAGATGCTATCGTTTCGATAAATTGTGCATGCCACCCGTCCTCTGAGACAAGAGGAAAGCGATTGTGATAATGAGCATCCTTGACTTGCTTGAATTATGGGAGGAAGTTAAACTCGGCACTGATGACTGAGAGGAGAAAAGAGGAGGGGAAATACTGATCTCAGCTGCTTTGATGTATTAGAGAGCTTGTATTCATGCAGGTCTGGAGAACCATCCTGAAGAGCCGCAATCATCATCTCAGGCTGCTGCTGATGACATGGACTTGAGAGTTTAACTCGCTGTTATGCAATGTGAAGCTCTTCAGTGGTCAGATCAACAAATTTGGAGGTAGCCAGACTTTTGAGTAACAGCATACAATCTGAATCAGTTTGCATCTTAGTTCACACTGTCCCAACAATCTCCAACCATCATTAAAAGTTGGTGTTTGTTGGGGACACAATGTGAATTAGCCTTTATTATAACCGAGACGCACCAACTTGGACCTCTAACTGAGACCATTTAATTGACATACTACCAAATTATGGTTTTTTCATGATGTTTATGACGGTAAATATGGTGTATTTTGGTGTAAGTTTGCTTGGCTTAATAAATAAATATAAATTGATTGATTTATTTATTAAACCAAGGCTATTAATTAATTAAATGTGTATATATATATATATATATATATACATACAAATTTGTACCCAAAAGTGAGCTAAACCTGACAAAATCTCCAAAAACCTCCCTTTGGGGACGCCCTCATTTGTAAAACTGGTATAAAAATAAAGTAAAATAAGTTTTTTTTTTTTTATTGTAAAAATGCACAAAGTTTCCTGTAAGGGGTAGGTTTAGGGGTAG